AACCTGCCTGTTCTGCTCCCCATTCCATCTCTGGGGAATCCTCTCACCCTCCCCACCCCCGCACCTCTGGCCTGCACCCCAGTTCTTCTATGTGTAAATAAATAAATAAATTAAAATCTTTTTAAAAAAATTTACTACTAGACAAATGAGCCACACCCAAAGTGTATGTCTCCTACTGGAGACCTTAGCAGCTTGTCATACCTGACCAGGTAACATGCATATGTCGTTTTCATTGTGAACCATTATTTTGAGAGAAAAAAAAGTCACATAATTCACCTGTGACCCCCTTCCTAGCTCTTATTAAAGGGCTTTGTAAGGCAACTGTACCTGTTATCTGTCAAGAGTATAAATTTTATATCAGTAGGATGAATCCAGTCTTGAAAATTATTTTTTAAAAGACCTCCCCTATTTTTTTTTGTGGTGTGCACTTTGCAAAGCATACAGCTGTGTCTTAGACAGTTTTTTACTGTATTAGTACAAGATACAGTTAAAGGCTCTTTTCTTCAATCACCTAGTTGTAATTTTTTGCTAATATATATAAAGTTTTTTGAAGTTAATAGAAGACTTTTCACAATCATTTCATTTCATCCTTAGGATCTAACCACTTTTATGTTGTATGTCTAAAGGACAGGCAGAGGTGCCTTCCTGGAGGCACAGGGGTTAAAGTCTCAGAGCTATCAAGCAACCACAAGCCCCTGAGGCCTGAGTTCAATCCCAGGGCAGAGAGCTGACCCACATGGTGCAGCAGACCTCTCCTGTCTCACTCACTGCTCCCCCCAGCAGTGGATTTCAGTAGATCTGCCTGTTCTGTTCCCAGCTCTGTCTCTGGTGAATCCTCTCACCCCCTGCACTTCTGGCCTACACTCTAATTCTTCTATGCATAAATAAGTAAAAATAAATCTTTAAAACAAAAAAGACAGGCAGAGATTAAAATTATTTATGTCCTTACAGATCAGTAAAACTAACAGCCTATATTTCAGTCACATTTTGCCACCTAGAGTTTTCAATGGGCAAAATCCCACCACTAGAGAAAGTATATAGACACCATCAAAGGAGTTGGGACATTTGTTTTTCAGGCCATCTGAGTGTGGTCCAGTTCTACCTGACTGCTTTTCACTAGCTCTGTGACCAGGAGCAAATCCTTGCTCTTGCTATGATTTCCTTTCTTCACCAGTATAATCCTAAATGGAAGCACCCCCTAAATGCTTAGAGGTACGGTGAATACTACATGGCTGTTTCCCTTGTAAAGTTCATCCATTCCCCTTGCCCAGTCATGACCTACCCCGAAGACCACAGTTAAAATACAAGTGACTCCTGTTCACCCACAAAAATGAGCATGTAAATAATATTAACTCTAGACTGTTCAATGAGTGATTGTATATGCTCTTCTCAGTGGAAAAGGATTTTAATGCAACTATATAAGGTAAAGGATGAATGTGATCCTTGGTTTACAAATATTGAAACTGAGGCTTGGTGAGCTTAAGCATCCCATCTAAAAGTCATAGAAAGTGATGAGCCCAGATTTGTTATTGCCATGACAACGTTCATGATTCATTTGTTCAAGCTTTACAGATGCTTATCTGTGCCAGGCACTGGCCTGAGTGTGAGGGGTTACTAACAGAAAGCACTTCTATTGCCCAGTTCTTAGTCTCATTGAGGGAAACAGACATTAAAAATAGACTATTTTACTAAGTTTTGAGTCAATGGAGAAAATTAAAGCAGGTGAAAGATAACAGAGGTTTCAAGAGAGAGTGGGGTGAGGAAGGCTCACTACATGATGACATTTGAACCAAGACATGAAATATGGGATGTAGGCAAGTAGGTATCCGGGGCAAGAATGAGCCAGACAGAGAACCAAATATTGCAAAGCCCTATACTGGGACCATGATTATTGCATTTAAAGAACAACATGGAGACCCATGTGACTGGATTGGGAGTGGAGAATGAAAGAAGATGAGGTTCCAGAGGGAGCAAAATTGGGTCTTCGAGTCACACTGCGCAGGTGGGCTCTCCAGTCGTGTGAGGTGAGAAGCTGGAGAGGGGCACAATCAGGTTTGAATGTCAGAAGGGCCACTTGGTCTGGTGGGTGAAAATAGACCAACTTTTGGATTCATTTAAAAGGAAGAGCCAGAGGCCTCCCTGGTGGCCTAGGGGTTGAGTCTCAGCGTTAACATCACTAAGGCCTGAGTTCGATCCCTGGCCAGGGAGCTGACCCACATGGCGCAGGAGACCTTATATCCACCTGTTCTGCTCCCTACTCTGTCTCTAGTGAATCCGCTCAGCCCATGCACCTCCCCTACACCCCAGTTCTTCTATGCTAAAAAAAAAAAATCTTTAAAAATGAAAAATAAAAGGAAGAGCCAGCAAGACTGGCTGATGTGTTGGGTGTGGACTTAGCCTGGCAAAACCCATAATGGAACTGCCATTTCCTGAGATGAACAACATTGGAGCAGATACATACACCATAATATTTAACACTGATCAGGGTTTTTTATGTGTTGAACATTTGCCAAGCAATTTTCATACATTATCTCAATTACTCTGTATACCAACCCCTTGGATTTACCAATAAAAAAGAGATTCAGAAAGATTACAATCAGCCCAAGGTTATACATGATTGACTAGCAGAAGTAGGCAGCACTACCTCTATATAACTCAAGCCAAAACTTTCATTACCACTGTGTTCCCTACACTGGGAAACATAAAATTCAGAGTAAAGCTTCAATGGGAAGGAAGCTAAGTACCAAGGGATGAGTCAGGCCTAGCAAATATTTGCTGACGGAAGAACAAATGAAAAGGAAATATACAGGTGCTGGATGGATGATGGCCCAGCCTTGGGTGAGAAAAATACACTTAAGATTCCATGCCAAAGAGAACAGACTTCGATAATGGGATGCTGATCTTTAAAAGGACACAAGGCAGGAAGGTAGAAAAACCAAACATAAATGAGCCCAGAGTAACCCTGGGGTAGGGCTAGTCTTAGTATATTACCTTGAATTATTAGATGAAAAGGCAGACATGAGATGACACATAGCATTTTACATAAACAGGTTTTAAAAATACAAATAGCAACAATAACAGAAGTTGAAACTTCTTATTTTTTAGTCCAATACAATAAACCACACAGCCTCTTCAATAAAAAGCAACCTTTTAAGTCAATCAATGAAACCACCATCAGTAGCTGGTATTTGTGGTACCCTAGCTAATTTAGAGGATCACATCCACAAATTCTTCCTAGACTTTCTCTTATATAGTTTCAACCTCTTCATGACTTTTCCCCTTTGTTTTTTTTTTTTTTTTCCTACAGATCTTGGGATAGCAAAGCATTGAACCAATGCAAGTTTTTATTTATTCATTTATTTGTTAAAGATTGATTTTATTTATTGATGCATACAAGGGTGTATGCCAGCATGGGGGGGGGGGTTGTGAGAGAATTCACCAGAGACAGAGTGGGGAGCAGAACAGGTAGAGCCACTGAAATACACTGCTGAGGGGAGTAGTGGGCAAGACAAGAGAGGTCTGCTGTGCCATGTAGGTCAACTCCCTGGCAACGGATTGAACTCGTGCTGTAGTGGCTGGCAATAGCTTCACAGTGGTGAGACTTAACCCCCTGCACCACCAGGGAGGCCCACCACTGCAAGTTTTTAAAACAGAAAACCTGAAAGCATTGTAGGTCTGAGGTTCTCCTAACAAAGACACTAGTCAACTTGTCATTGAAGTGGCAAAATAAGTATGTCATTTTATGTCATGAAATTGATAATAATCACCAGTGAATTACTTAAAAATGTTTAGCCTTCCTTTTCAGTGACAATCTGTTTGTGATCGCTAATATTCTAAACACAGAGAAAGTAATAGCTCACGAATAAAGTAAAATTCATTTCTGAAATTATTTTTGAAATGATTGGCAGTTTCAAGCAGCAAATTAAATAAAACAGACAAGTACAGATTTCTGATCACAAGGATCAGATGGAGGTGGGGTGGGGGTGGGTTAAAAACCTGAGTCTAAATGTCACAATTCATTACCTTTAAACTACAAAGATTGGAGTGGAGGGTTATTAGAAAATACAGGCCTGGAAAAATTCAATACTTTGCTAGAAAATAGTCTTTACAGAGTTCTACCAGGCTTTATATTCAATAAAATGGAAGAACTTTTTTCTGAAGACAAAACAAAGTCTCAAAAGCTTTCCAGAAATCCATCTGTGGATTTCAGACATGCGATCATTTACTAAGGGAAATACATTTACTCAAGATAATTGTACTCGGAAAAACTTGGGGTCCCATAGACACACAGCCACACATAAATGTTTACTCCCATCACACACATATGCACAAGTACACATGCAATGCTCAGTTTATTGTTCTGAGCTAGGGTGGGTCTCAGTACTTGGAGCAACAAACAATTAGCATCCTCTTTAACTTTCTTCTCATCGTTTCACAAGAAACCCCCAGAAAATCTGTTGACTCCAGAAAAATTTAAGCTACCTGGATGCAAGTCCTGTCAGTAGCCTAGAGAAAGAAACATAACTCCCTAAAGCCTCCCACTTCAGCAGAGGCAAGCAGGTAAATCTCAACCCCTGACCCCCACAACTGACGATTGCTGACAAAATCTGCACAATCCTAACCAACCTACAGTCATTATGATAGTCCACAGGTTGCTGGTGGTCGGGAGAAAAAAGAACTGAAAAACTGAAACCAGGCCAGACGCAAAGGTCGCTACAACTGCACACCCTAAGCCCAGAGCAAAGGGAACCTGGGACACACCTATGCAGAAAGCCAGCCACCAACAAGCACCTTTGCGCAATGAACTTGGACCAAGTGTACATTCCTTTCATTTTCTCGGCCAACAAAGATGAACTTTTTGTTCTCAGACCACAGTCCTAAAACCTATGCATTCCCAAGCCTATCCCCAGACAGGGTGCCCCTCATGCCCAAAGAGGTCTCTCCCAACGCTGCCTCCTGCTCCCACTCCATCAGTAAATGCTGGCTCCCACGTTCCTTACCGTTGTCTGGAGTCCTCGCCTCAATTCTGACCTGGGGTTCTCCAGATCCAGCTCCTGGCTTGGGATCAGGCCCCGCAGTTGAGCCCTTCTGTCCCCAACAGTGGACAAAGGTAGCTATTCCCAGGATCCATACGTTATCTGACGGCCAAAGCGGGGGACCCACGGAGCCCCTCCCTAACGGACCGGGTCCCCTCCCAGGTCGGGTGACAGTTCCACAGCGAGTAGGCGAATAATGGCAGCCCAAGTGTCACCCGTGGGTCAGACACTTGTGGGCCCGCGGGATCCCCCCAGGAACCCTCACAGGGCTCGATTTGGCCACCATGAAGTTAGTAAACACCCGAAGCCTCAAGTTTGCTTTTTTAAGGAAAACCCCCGCGAGCTGCAACCTGTTCGTTTAATTAGCAAATGACAGGTAAGGCTTTTACTCCGCACCCCAGGAATCACTGGAGCGAGGAAAGTTCAAGGTCTGCGCCGGCGAGGTGCCCACCCCTCCGAGTCCAGGAGTTAGGGTCCCCCACGCGCCTCCCGCCGCGGGGACGCCCCTGCCCCCCCCCGGGAGCCCCGCGCTCCGGCCTCCCACCGCCCACCCGCCCGCTCTCCCGCCGGGGTTCCGCCTCCGCTGGGGGCCGGCGCGGCCCGGGGGGCGCTCGCAGCGCTGCGGCGGGCGCGGGGCGCGGGGCGCGGGGCGCGCACTCACCGAGGGGCCGCGCGCCTCCGGCGTCCGCACTCGGGGAGCGGGTCCGACGCAGCCCCGCCGCGGCGGCGGCCTCGCGGGGAAGCGGGCGAGACGGGCCGGCGGCGTCGCTGCCGCCGCTGCTGTCGCCGAGCTATAAATACCGGCGCGGCCCACCCCGCCGCCTACGCCGGGCGCCCTCCGCGCCGTCCGCCGGCCGCCGCGGGAGCGCGAGGGCGCCGGCGCCGCGCAGGTGACCGCGGAGGCCCAGGGGTGCGGCGGCCTCGGCCGCCGGCGGCTTGGCCCGCGCCCCCGCGCGCCCCAGTCCGCGCCCCCCGCGCGCCCCCGGCCCGGCCCGCGCCTCTGCAGAGCCCGCAGCGCAGGCGGGGGCCGCCCGAGCCCCGGGGTGCAGGGGGCGGCTGGCTTCGGCCCAGCGCGTCAGCAGCACCCCCACCCTCCCCAGGGAACCGGCAGGCTGCTTACCAAACCCACCATCCTGCAGGGAAGCAACGAGGTCCCCAGGTGGAACAGCCTCAGAGCTGCAAACTTTCACTGCAGTCCCGGGTCACCCTGCATCCTTCCTGCCTCAGTGGAGGGGCAGGTGGGGGTGGGAAGGTCACCCCGCAGGAGTGTGAGGATCACAGACTTTCTTTCCAGGGGGTCTGGTCTGGCGACATACCGGGATGCGAGTATGTGCACACGTAAACACACAAAGGATAAGCCCGCACATTTAGAAGTGAACAAATACACGTACCTGCATACATTTGCACAGATGCGTGTCTAAGTGCAAACACACACATAAGCACATTTTGAGCCTTTTTGCAGCAGAAGCTCAAAGGAGCCTCTTCTGTAGTGCTTGAATGATTCATTGGCAAGGGGACAGAAACAAGACCCTTGGGCTGCCTTCGATGGTTTCCTTTATGCCTGATGTTACCTCTTTTCCATCACTTTGTGGCCCTCGTTTCCTTCCACATCCCATAAAAACCGCTACCTCAGTTTACCGGCTGTTTATAATGTATGAAAATCTGCTATTCATCATAATGTTATTTCAGGCTCATGGAAGTGATGACTAGTTTTTATAGTCAAGTGGGAATAGAATGCCTTTATGTGTCCACAGTAGCAAATGCATAGGAGAGAGCCAGGCTCTCTCTCCTGGGCTGGTAACTTGATTCAGGTATAGGGTGAGTAGGAAGTGGGAGAGCTGAAATGTCAGCTGATGGTGAGGTGAAGAGAAGTTCCTGCGATGAGCTGACCCACAGAGGAATAACAGGGGTACACTGTCATACTTTTCCTTAAACATTTTTTTTCGAGTTTCTGAGAATGACTACTTCTACCTACATTGTAGACAGAGTTTGTGATCATTTAATTAAACTCTTAGTTGAGTATGAGTCTCTTGAGTGAAACTTCTGCAAGTTTTCCCAGAAAGAGTTGTGCTAACACTTTGCACATTTTACTATGACACTTCTTATGTTTTACTGTCCTTTTTTTGCACCATCTTTTTCTCCTCTACTAAGATATGGACTCTTCGAAAGCAAAAACTAAATCTTACTCCTATTGAATCCTCAATATCTTTTATAGGAAGTTATAGTAATTGCTCAATAAATAGACTGATTAGATGTGCTTCCCATAATTATAAATAGTTTAGAGTTTTTAAACTGTCTAGCTGGTTAACATAGTTTCCATATGCTATGTTTTCCTCCTAGCTCCATTTAAAGAGTTTTCAATAATTGACACCGGAAAATATTTTTAAAAATCACAAATTATGCAACATAATAATGAGGTCTGTCTGTGACTTATTAGCCCACCTCCCCTGAAAATAAAGAAAAAGAGAAAGCCTTTTTTAGTCATTGAGAAGCAACAAACCATCATATATCAAAGGATAGTGGGATTAAAATATTTAGCAGCTTCTCTTCTCCTTGAGAGTTAGAATTCACTCCATTCTATGACCAATTAAAATCCAGAAGCCTCTACTTCAACCATAACTGAAACATCTGGCCACCCAATCTTTAGATCTCTGTCTTCTCAGAGCTATCTCTGAGATCCATTATCTTTCTTCCCTTGATAATAATTTTAAGAATAAGGGCCTCCCTGGTGGTGCAAGGGGTTAAGCACTGCACTATGAAGCAATCTGCAGCCTCTGCAGCACGGAGTTCAATCCCCAGACAGCCAGGGAGCAGCCCACATGGCGCAGCAGACCTCTCCTGTCTTGCCCGCTGCTCCCCTCAGCAGTGTACTTCAGTCAGTCTGCCTGTTGTGTTGTCCACTCCGTTTCTGGTGAATCCTCTCACCCTCCCGCACCTCTGGCTTATACCCCGGTTCTTGTATAAATAAATAAATCTTAAAAAATAATAATAATAATTTTAAGAATAAGCACAACCAACACTTACATTTCCTTTGACTTCTAAGGTCTCAAAGTTTAAATATAGTTCTGCAGGATCATTTCAAGGCAAAATATTGATATGAGCAAGGCTTTCTTTAAGATCATGTCTCAAACGATGTAAAAATTACATAAAATAAAATAATTTATTAAAAAATAAAGTACAAATTAAATTTAAAAAAATCATGTCTCAAGGGCCTCAGTGGTGGCCTAGGAGTTAAATCTCAGTGCTATCACCCCTATGCCCTGACTTCAATCCCTGGCCAGGGAGCTGACCCACATAGGATACAGCAGACCTCTTGTGACTCACCCGCTACTCCCTTCAGCAGTCAATTTCAGTCAATCCAGGTGTTCTGCTCCCCACTCTGTCTTTGGTGAACCCTCTCACCCCCTGTACCTCTGGCCTACACCCCAGTTCTTCTATGCAAACACACACACACACACACACACACACACACACACACACATATATGAGACTCCTTTAAGAAAAACAAAGACTGTGTCTCATTTTCACCTCTGATCAGGAAGCATGTGCCTTAACATGGACAGCTATACCTAAGGACCAGGCACAGGGGAACAGTCTCTACACTTGATGTTTGTAAAAATAGCAGGTAGTAATAAAAGATGAACTTTTTGATGGCTTGTTGAGTACTAGGCCCTTTTTCTGTATTAAAACATCTAATTTCTGCAACAGACTTGTGAGATAACTGCAGTTAGAATCAATTGCATATGCCTGTGAGGAAAAAAAAAAACGAGACTGAATAGGTGCCAGCAATGTGGCTCTTGAGCCCACATTTTAACCTCTCATCTTATACTTCCTCCCCACGTACCAGGACAGGGATATGGGTTTGACAGTTGGGAGACCTGGAACAGAAAATATTAGTGTGATTCTTGTTCCACCACTCACTGGCTGCCAAACCAGGCAAGTTGCTTCTATAAAATTACAATAAGTACATCTAGATCTGCCTTGTCTGCCATTGAACTGGTGAGGTATTAGATCTGGATATAGATTGAGGAGTCCAGAGTGGGCCCCTTAGCCTATTCAAGGACAGATCTACTCACGATTTAAGCTAATGTTCTGCCTACTTTCTGGACTCTTCTTACCCCAGTAACCACCACACAGACCTGTTAGTTTAAATGCCCTAATGTGTTCAAGACACTGCTACAGTGTTAGATGTATAACAGTTGAGTAACAAAGGGCATTCTTCCTTCTCTTGTTCAGGGCAGGGAGAGGAGCACTCCATAACCCCCAAACCTGCCCTCTCTAAATAGGTTCTGCCATCCGCCGCCTGAAAACAAATATACTCTAGTATATTTGCCTTTTTAACAGTTTAATGTTTTAAAGTTAACTTTTAAAGTTTAAAAGTTTAAAGTTTTAAAAGTTGGATACAATTACTGTGCAATACAGAAAAGGGAAAGAATAAAGTTTGCAAATCAAGCATCCAAAGTTACCCATCCCCTCGTGTGTAAATATCCAGCCAAACAGGGTTGACCCAAAGCAGGGCCACTGAGGCTGGAAAACCTACCACAGTCTAAGGAACCTCCTGGTGGGGACCCATAGAAAAGGGGTGGAAGGGACTCAGCACATTTGGGACAGAAGGAGCAAATCAAAGTCAGGATCAAAGCTGCCATTGTTAACCTCCCCACAGGTCTCTCAGCCACGTCTGCTCCAACAAGTTCAAGACCAAGAAGCAAGTGCAGCTTCTTCATCTGTTTCTCTGCTCCACATGTCTCCTCTAGGTCTCCTTCTTGCTCTCCACCCTTCTCCTTCCTTCTCCAGTCTCCTCTCCAGCTTCTCCTCCTCCTTGCTCAGTTCCACCCTTTCTTGGGTGGAACAGGGAAACTGTTTGTTCCCTGGGTGGTCCTGAGGACCACCTGTTACACCATCAGACCTCACTAGTCATGAAGACCTTCCTTGGATCCAAGATCAACTGGTCTAGTACATAGATGGTGATTTCTTATTCACAGAAATTATCCAGTTCTCTAGTACTGACTAGCAGTGTTTTAAAATGGGATAGCCCCAGGAAGAAAGCAAAGTACCAGAGTTTCACATTTCCCACTCAGCCTATCCATATCTTAACCCAGAGAGCTCCATTTCTATACTATACAGTATCTCAGCAAACTGGTCATGTCTTAGGGCAATGATATAAATAAATAGGAAACTCCCAAATCACACTCGCCAATTACCTATCTTCTCCAATTCCACATACACAATCACCCCTGAAACCAAGCTTAAAACATGTCTTGTTTAAGCAAACAACCTAGTCAAAAAATGGGCAGAAGAACTAAAAAGACACTTCTCTATAGAGGAAATGCAAATGGCCAATAGGCACATGAAAAAATGCTCAACATCACTTATAATCAGGGAAATGCAAATCAAAACCACAATGAGACACCATCTTACATCAGTGAGAATGGCAATGTTTTTCTGTTCACCTCACATATCCCAGTGG